TTAATTTTACTTGCATATTAAAATTCACTTCTCATAATATACGTGGATATAAATATATTAAGTATATAAGGTAAAGTATATAAGTCTTACCCTTCATGAAATATGAACAATATGAATTGTGTTGCACTCCATGCAAAACATGATCCACAGTCCAACTTATAACAATTTTAATTACTTTATCATGCTTATAAAACAAATATTTAAAAAAAATAAGATTTCCTCTATTTTCTTCTCCCTCAAATTCCTTAGTTATAACAAAAAGGCTAAAATGCATAAAATTTTTCTGAACTTTGAGACAGTTGATATAATCTCTCCACCTTTAAAAGTTTAAAATTAACCCGTTAACCTTTAATTTTGTTTTCAAAACCCCAATATTATTAATTATGTTATTTTTTCATTAGGGTTGTAATATCATTCAACTAAAAAATGTTATTGAACAAAAATATTATATTATATAACTATTTATAATAAATTTTGTCATATTTTTTTGGATAATTGAGGCATTGATAACAAAAAAAATTTATTATTATTGTATAAAATTTTAAATATTTATGTTTATTTTAGTTTATCCATTTTTTGTTATCAATGGTGGATGATTTTATTGTTTTAAAAGGTAAATTTTTATTTATATTTTCATGTTAGATTAATGTAATGCACATGGCTAAAATATTTAAAATTTTAAATATTATCAGGTTAGATTAATTTATCTTTTAATACTAAAAAATTATGCACTATTGATAACAAAAAAGAGAGATAATAACATAAAAGTAAATATTTAAAATTTTATATGATGATAATAAGATTTGTTTTGGTTATTATCAATGTCTCAACTATCCAAAAATATCATTCAACTAAAAAATATTATTAAACAAAAATATTATATTGTATAACTATTTATAATAAATTTCTCATATTTTTTGGATAATTGAGGCATTGATAACAAAAAAAATATTATTATCATTGTATAAAATTTTAAATATTTATGTTTATATTAGTTTTATCCATTTTTTTTGTTAATCATGCATGATTTTATTGTTTTAAAAGATAAATTTTTATTCAATTTCAGGTTAGCTTAGTGTAATGCACATGGCTAAAATATTTAAAATTTTAAATATTACCATATTAGAGTAATTTATCTTTTAATACTAGAAAACTATGCACCATTGATAACAAAAAAGAGAGATAAAACTACCACAAAAGTAAATATGTAAAATTTTATATGATGATAATAACATTTATTTTGGTTATTATCAATGCCTCAACTATCCAAAAATATAAAAAAATTAATTATCCATAGTTCTACAATATAATATTTTATTTAATAATATTTTTTAGTTGAATGACAATTTAACCCCATGAAAAAATAACATAATTAACAATATAGGATTTTGAAAAACAAAACTAAAAATTAAGGGGGTTAATTTTAAACTTTTAAAGATGAGAAAGATTATATGTAACTATCTTAAAATTTAAAAGAGTTTTATATAATGTAGCCTAATAAAAAAGTGACATCCTACAAAAAGCCTTTAAGCTCTCAGATTAAAGGTGTTTACAACAATGATAGGCCCAGAATATTTGAGTTGTAGGGCATCACACCCTTGAATTTTTAAAAGATACTCTCTATAGGTCATGGACCAAAATTTAGATGGAGCTGAGGGTCCACCTACACTCATCAGTCATTAGAGAAATGATCATATATATATATGGCAGTAACTAAAGAGGCTGACAATTTAACTGAAAATGGGCGATAAATTTAAATGGTGTGAAGAGTGTGAAAAATTAACACAGTTAATTACAATAAACTAAAATGGAAGTAAGATAATTTGCGTTATGATGTTGCCCTTTTAATTTCAATAAAAAAGGGATTCAATGATTACATATTTAATTAATCATTCTCTTCTTCACTAAGCTATTGTAATTAGTCAATAAAAAAAGGGTACCAAGTACTAAATATATATACTTAGGATCGACAAGAATCCTTGAAATATTAATACACGGAGGGATACGGAGGCCAAGTGCTTGGAGTCTACTCTGATTCCCCTCTATTTAAGGTTCAGCATGTCATGGGAGGGAAGGGGGGAAAACAATATTAATTAATTAATTAATATAAAGAATATGTGTAATTCACGGCCTTTTAATTTGTGTGTCATGTTACCCTTCCCTAACGTATATGTGGCACAATCCTCAAATGGGAAAATTGATTATTTTTTTATATTTTTGTTGAAAAAAACACTTGCAATCACATCACACTATTGGTTTTTTGGGTTAAATATAAAATTTGTCCTTGTTAAATTTATTTTCGATGCAATGTTCCTCTTTAACATTTTAAAATAGTGCAATGTTACCCATGTCATTAACAAATATTAAATTTGATCATTGGTTAATAAGAAAAATTATAGAAAGGATATCAAAAGTTACAAAAAAAAAATAGAAAGTTATGGAAAATGACCTTAATTTTTGTAATTTTCTTAATCATTTTTTTATAATTTTTAGATTCTTATAATTTTTTATCAACTAATTATTAAAGTTAATATTTTTTAACAATAGGAGTAATATTACATCATTTTGTAAATATTAAATAGGAACATTGCATAAAAAACAAATTTAAGAGCCCAAATGCTCTTGGACCTATAATTTAAGGGTAAATCTGACACTTGACCCTTTTTTTATATACTTAAATCTATATTTGTAGTTTGGCCTTGTTCAGAGAAAATTAAAATTTTAAAAATGAGTTATTGTACAAAATTAAAGCTATTGCGAGATTTACAATCATCTTCAAAGGGATAACTGGCACAGCCTCTTAATTCACGAGGGATATTTTCATTTAAAACAAATAAAAATTTGATTGAAAATATCGTACAACCTAAGCTCCCTCGAAAATTTCAGTTTCCATCTCCCTAAGGCATTAATATGGCAACTGGCAATAAACAAATCATATAACTGAAATAACTTTATATGTACATAATTAAACGCATAAATTAATAGCGAATGTGCAGTTTTGATCGGAAAAAGGTCTGACTTTTGTGTTATATTAACGTTAACCTTCTCCTAGAGATGCAAGCTTAATTGAAACCCTAAACATGAATTAACTCTATAAACACACTAATCAAGGCCCCAGCTCACAAGGGTATCACGTCCATTTATTTTGATTTAAACTTTGATGCGTAATGGCTTACAGGTGAAGCATATATTTGGTGCTAAACGAATCATAAAATTCCTAACATTGTTCGAGATGTTATAGGAGGACTAACGTACGTGGATGTTTGTAAACCTTGCATTGTACTCGGACTAGATTATTGAATTTTTTTAGAAGTGCGGATCAATTTGCAATTTAATTTGTAATTTGACGTTGGAAAAAGAACCAACACCTTTCTGTCTTACAAAAAATACAAAGGTCGCATATAGTTGTCCTTTACAGATACATATTTTTATCGTATGACCAATCATTGTTATCTACTTGAACACTAAAAAGATAAGGGATTTTTGTCCGAATTTTTCTAGTTACGTGCGGTTTCTAAATTGAAAATTTTCACAAATCTTCTTTAATGTTATTTCTGAATGGTCGATAAGTATCGTTTTTAATAAAATAAGTTCTTAAAACGTTGATGGTTCATGTGTATCACAGTTTCCTTTTCCTTTTTCTTTTTCTTTTTTTTTTTTTGGTTCGTGAACATAGAAGGGACGAATTTCTTTTTTTTCCCCCCTATTACCAGCTACGACGAAGGAGGCCGGAGGGGGACAAATATTCGTGGATCTAACATTGTGCTTATTCGTTAAATAAACACAAGAGAATTGTTTGCATCTTTTAGCCAAGAGCCATCATATAAGTTTACTGCATGTTTTTTATTTTTATTTTTTTAATCAAGACGCAATAACGAAACACCATACAAAAGAGAGATCTCTAGACAGTATAACATACCCGGAAAATTTAGAATGTGGGTAACATGCATATACATTTAACTAATAGTACATATTACACTCATTAGACACTGAGGAGTTCATGTCGTTAACAAGGGGGGGATCATAAATCTCAAGGGCGACATTCATCTAAGCTTGATCAGTTAATAAACCAGTTGGGCCCTAAATAATCCTTTAATCCTTGCAACTTTCAAGTGTGGACTCTTATAATCACTAGAAGGCTTTGATATAAATAGCTTAGATTAGCGGGTTATGATTAATTAGAAATCTTGAGTTTGAACTTTGGGCATGCAATTGTGATAAAAAATTTTATGGAAATTATGCCTCTTAAAAAGGTATTTGCAAACTACCGATTGGATTAGATCAACGATTTGGAATAAAGGGAGGGAAAACAAAGTGGAGGATGAAGTGACGAGAGTGTCTTGGGAAGTGCATGTGGGCGGGGGTGACGGAGATCACGTGAGAAGGGAGGGGCAGCACGTGGTGGCAGGAATGCACGCGGAGGAACATCCTGCATTCCCGCCCTAACACGCGCGCCTCCTCTTACCGTTTTGGCTTCGCAGATATTCAATTCTGAGTGACTAATCAATCTAATCAAATGATTATTGAGGTCGGTGAGTGATGCATGTGGTGCTTCTTATCACTCCTTTAGTAGCCTTCACCTTCACACGTTGCTCGATCTGTGAGTAGTTGGCAGTCCCCTCATTTTTGAGCTATTTATGTAAATTAATTCTCGCTGCTTCACGCACGCAGCAGGTATAATTGGTCATCGTCGTCTCGTCACGACTTAGCAACTCTCAAAACATAACTTTTGCGTGAGATTCAGCAATTCCATCCTTCTCCAACTATAATATTGTGTACATGTATGCCATGGATGACCAGTTTTTTAACATCCACGTGTATCTCTAATCTAATTTCTACGCAACGTAACATCATTTTGAAAGTAGGGGGAACAACCTTGAGGACTGCAATAATTGAGTAGATCAAGGACTCCAATTCATGCATGCACCACTATTTATACCGACGTTCCCTTGCGCTCTTCACTCCACTCCTTCGTCTCGTTTCCCGCTTTGTCTCTGGCATTAATGGCCCTTTCTTCATCTTGCTTGGACACAACCTGGTGGGTCTTTACCCTTCCAGCCATAACAACCCAACACTTGCATAACCCTACTTTCCTCCTCTTCTTCATCCCAATAATGCTTCTTTTCTTACTTGCCTCCCTTGCATGGACTTTCTCTCCTGGAGGCCTTGCCTGGAAAAATGCAAGGACTCACATGGGTCGGGTCACCATACCAGGACCCAGAGGTGTCCCTATCTTTGGCAGCTTATTCAGTTTGAGCCACGGCTTGGCTCATCGTACACTCTCTTCTTTGGCTCACTCCCTAGCCGCAAAACAGCTCATGGCTTTCAGCTTGGGCTCAGTCCCCGCCGTCATCACCTCCGATCCTCACATGGCACGTGAAATTTTGACGTCACCCCATTTCGCCGACCGCCCCGTCAAGCAATCCGCCAAGAGCCTCATGTTCAGCCGAGCCATCGGATTCGCTCCCAATGGCTCTTACTGGCGGCTGCTCCGGAGGATTGCCTCCGCTCATCTCTTCTCACCGAGGCGAATCGCCGCCCACGAGATGGGCCGTCTCCTTGACTGCGCTGCCATGTTACGAACCATAGCCGATGAGCAGTCCATGAACGGCGTTGTTGCCCTGAGGAAACACCTTCAGGCTGCGGCTCTTAATAACATCATGGGCACCGTTTTCGGTAAAAGATATGAATATAATCATCTGAATAGCTTTGGCTTGGACGCGAAGGAACTGCATGAGATTGTTAGGGAAGGGTTTGAGTTGTTGGGGGCTTTTAACTGGTCTGATTATGTGCCGTGGATGAGCTTGTTTTATGATCCTTCTCGTATCAGAGAACGGTGCGGAGCTCTTGTTCCTCGTGTGAGGAAGTTTGTGAGAGGCCTCATAGACGAACACCGATTGGCTGCTTCACCATCCAAGAAGCTCTGCGATAGTTCGGACTTTGTGGATGTGTTGCTATCCCTAGATGGTTCGGACGAGAAGCTCCATGAAGATGACATGATTGCCGTTTTATGGGTTTGTGCTCTCTTTCTATCTAATTAAGGTCAACATTTTTTTTATCGCTTTAACTTGACACCGGCCTGCGATCTAGACACAGCATAAAAATATATATAAAAGGCGAGATTCTTAGCTAGATCTGGTCTTTGAGATTAGACCAGGTCAATTGAAAGAGGGATAAGTCAATTCCGGGGTCTCTCGAAATTTTGGGCCTTAATCATTGAACTTATTTTGAGATTCTAGCCTACTTTTCTAGAGCAAAGTGAGCATTGAACACTCAATCTTCATATATTGGGTGTCAATTATATTCTTTATAGACTTATGTTTCCAAGAGATTTATAAATATATAAAAAATTAATAAAAATCATGTGATGTTCTCAAATGCTTTTTTTAAATAGTAGATAATTAGTTTAATTAATTCAATCATATAAAACGTTTTGAAATTGATTTGACTCAATCTTCGTTATCAAACTAAACTAAACTAAAGTTCTCCTGTAGACATGTACTTTACTCTGTTTTTATATAAGAGAGAAAAAAATATATTACATAGTTTAAAAAAATTAGATAATTATAATAACTATGTTTGAAAATAAAAAATTAAACTAAAATGCCTTATATTAATTAATATAAACATACATTAATTATTTTTCGATAATATAAATTATGAGAGGTGATTTAAAAAATGAGTAATAAATTCTTATTGAAATAAGTGATTTTGCTTATAAAAAAAAATAAAAAGTGATAGTTTCTCCTACAAATAAAAATAAAGAGAGTACAACTTAAGAATTAAAAATTTTCTTAGATGTATGATTTAGAGCTATCTTTTCGATCTCTTGCCATACTACGGGCACGCTATATCATCTAGTAGTCGGTTAACTTGACAAGAAACAACGGATTATGTGTTGTGTAACTTTCTTTTGTTCTTTTTCAAGTAGAGACTTTTTATTCTAAATACCATCATCTCCCTATAATTATCATTTCCTTTTCCTTATATGCTTTTGTGTTATACAGGAGATGATATTCCGTGGTACTGATACGACGGCCCTTCTAACCGAGTGGGCAATGGCGGAACTGGTTTTGAACAAACAAATTCAAGCGAGGCTCCGTGAAGAAGTTGACGAGGTTGTGGGAGACAAAAATGACGTCATGGATTCTGACGTGGCAAAAATGCCCTACCTCCAAGCTGTCGTCAAGGAGACCATGCGAGTGCACCCACCGGGACCCCTCCTTTCGTGGGCCCGACTCTCCACGTCAGACGTACAGCTCAGCAACGGCATGGTGGTCCCAGCCAACACGACGACGATGGTGAACATGTGGGCCATAACCCACGACCCACAGGTGTGGGACGATCCGTTCGTGTTCAAACCAGAAAGGTTCGTCCCAAGCAAAGGAGGGGCTGACGTGGACGTTCGAGGTGTTGACCTGAGGCTCGCACCGTTTGGAGCTGGACGTAGGGTTTGTCCAGGTAAGAACCTTGGGCTCGTCACTGTGAGCCTTTGGGTGGCTAACTTGGTTCGCCAGTTTGAGTGGGTTCGTGACCAGGCTAACCCGGTTGACCTAACCGAGGAGCTCAAGCTATCTTGTGAGATGAAGAACCCCCTCAAAGCTGTGGCCATTCCTCGGGCTGTTTAATTAGTTCTCACCAATACAAGTATACAACTAAAGGTTTGCGTCACTTTTATTTATATACGAATATATGATGTTATATATATATAGGAGGATTATGGCATACCCCACGGTGTATGAATTTTAAGGTTTTTAAGTTGTTTGAAAAGTGTTATAAGTGTTGCATGAGTGTATGAATATGAGCATATGATGTACCAAACTAAATAAGGGGGCGTTTATTAATTTTCCTCCAAATGTAATAATTAATGTTGTGGTTAATTATATTAGTCAATATTATGTATTTTGCGTAAGCATCATGTGCATGATTGTTCTGGGTATTCCATATAGAATGCGAATCGGCTTTGCATTCCAATCCCCAGTACAGTCGGCTTCTTTGTATCCTGATTCTCCGCACCGACTTTTTTTTTTTAAAAAAATCCATTGCATGGATGTGATCTTTTTTTTCCTTATCACGTCCCAATACATATATATTTATTAATGACACAGAATTTAATTGAACAATCTTATTTGAATAATTACAATATTTGATGGTTGTTTCATATATTCTTAAACGTTATCATTAAGTTACATGAATATAATTGAACAAATTCAATAACTCTATCAACTATGAGCCCTCCAGCAACTCAAGGAATAAAAAAAATAAGGAATTACAATAAAAGTGGAATCAGAAAAATAATTAATGGGAATAAACTTTTGTGATCCCATGCGATCATTTTTCGTATACTACGTCATATCCGTAGCTATATTGAGAACTCATAAGTCATAAGTGAGCATTAACACCAAGAACGAAATACTCCCTCCATTTTTTATTGTTAGAGATGCTATCACTTTTAATTTTTATTTTTTTATAAGCAAAATTATCAATTCTAATAAACATTTATTACACATTTCTTAAATTACTTGTTATAATTTACATTGACGAGAAACAATTAATATATTCTTAGGTTGATTAATATATGATATTTTAGTTTATTTATTTTTTTTAAATATAATTATTACAGTTAACTAATTTTTTAAATTATGTAATATATTTTTTTATATATAAAAACTAAGGGAGTATATCATTTTGTGGATGCATGATAGGTTTTTCACAGGGTGCACCCTTGGTGGATGTACAAAAGCCCAAGCCCAATATGTACTTCTCTGAATTTTGGGCACATTGGCGGATTATTTATGATTGATTTAAGTAATGATCTCTCGGCTAAACTTTCCGCTAGGCTAAATTGGACAGTGAGAGATAAATTCAGGACCATCTACCCAACGATTTCTGATATTATAATTTTAGAATTATGCCCTAGAAATGTGTGACCGTTGTTGTGATTGCTATCTCTGAAATGATTTTGGTGATGATGAAAAATATGGTTGCAGAAGAAAACTAGGAGCCTAAAAGACCTAAATCTCCTTGCAACCACAAGCATCTTCCTAAAGATGATGATGATCATGGTCCAAAACAAATCACTAAAAAAAGATAGGTAGAACCTCTAAATCCTCCAATTGAAAGAAGCATTCTCTTTAAACTCCTCAAAGAACTTGTTAATATTTTATTTTTTTAAAATAATTTATATTTTTTTAATTTTTTTATTGATTTGATAATAATAATTAAAATTTTACTTCTTCATTTTTTAAAATAATAATAAATAAAGAAGATATATAATTAAAAAATAATTATAAATATTATTTAATATTTAATATTTGATATTTTAGATTGAGTAATATTCTTAAAAAATGCTTTATATTATGATTGTAATTTTTATTTCTCTCTCTCATCAAATCGCGGACTGTGCACGAGCTCCGGCCTCCGACCAAAGCTATCTGGTGAAGATCCACGTTGGCAAAGCAATATGGGAGTGTTTTGTCAATAAATATATTTTCACTCCTTTTTTTTTCAAGAAAAATACTTTTTTATTTTATATTTTTGCTCTTTAGATGCCAGGCTACTTTCATCAGGCCTAAAATTAGGGCTCCTCAAAAAAATTAGATAAAACTAGACTTTGGGTTAATCTAGAGTCTAATCACTTTTATAAAAAAGATTGAACTAGACAATTTATAATTCAATTTAGTTTAATTATAATTTAAAAATTAACAAGATCAGATTTAGTTTATAGGATTGAAAGACTAGTCTCATTAGTCTAATACTCACATTGTTTTTTTCGCCCTCTATGAATAGAAATAATTTATTTTAACTTAATAAAATTAATTAAAATAATAAAAATACTTATAATTATAAAAAATCCATAACAATCTCCAACAATAATAAAAAATATTTTAATTATAATCTAAATGATTTAAATTCATAATTTCAATAATAATAATATTCAACAAACTTTAGCAACTTAATTTACAGTACAACAATAATTTAATAGTAAACTAAATTAAAATTATATTAAATAAAAAGGTAAAATGTAAATAAAGAAAATGCTTCGTTCAAACTAAATACTATTTAAATATATTAAAAATAATTAAAATTATATTAAAATAATTTCTCAGGACCAAACCAAACCAAATGGTTTGAGGACTTGGTCTTTTATTCAATCTAACTTGATGAGTTAATCTGATCTTTGTATTCACTTTAGTCCTTTAAACTAATTATTTTACCAAACTAGACAGGACTGGGTTTGTTCAAGTTGGATTGATTTGGACAGAACAATTGAATTATTGCACATCCCTACCTGAAACCATAAATAAATATTTTATAAAAAAAAGAATCAATATTAATTTTTTTGGTTGATTCATGGAATATAATTGACAGAAATAAACAATGTTAGGAAATAAAAATGCAAATGGGATCTAATGAAGTGGAAAAAAATTATTTTAGCTTTTTAAAATTTAACATTCTTTGCTGTATTAATTTATTTTTACTTTTCATAATTTAACACTTCATTATTCATTAATTTATTCAAAATTTTTATAGTTTATAAATAATATTTTTGAATCAAATCATCCAAATAATTTAACAAAAAATAATTTTATTCAAATTATTTATTCTAAATTAGTTTTTAAATCAAATCATCTAAATAAATTTTAACTTATTTAACTGACTTTTAAAAATATATCCAAATATAAATGACATTACAGTTATAGACTTTTTCTTTTTCTTCCTTCAGCAGGCTAATTATAAGTATTTGATGATGAACAAAGGTTTTCAATATTTTAATTCCTTTCTTTCATAGGGTGAAGTCGATTATTATTCCCACCCCCGCGTCACCTTAATTTGGAATTCTCTTTATCGTGGTTTTTTTTTTTAAAGTAAATCCAAGCCTTTGGAGTTTTCATTTTATTTAAGCTAAATTCTAATTGGTTCCGGCTGATTTTATTATGGCCGGTCTCTCATCAGGATTATATATCCCACTCCCACCGATATTTTTATTTTAATATATTAAATTAAATAATTATTTTTCACAAGTTGATAGTTCTAAATTGATATTATCTTGCATATACTTCAGTCAAGATAAAAAAAATATAAAAGTATAATTAAGAAAATAACAAGACCTTGAGTGTTTGAACGAAACTAGGATGGTCTATTGGGACACGCATGACGATATAACCAAATCCCACCGACATCATTTCACATAGCAAATGTTTGATATGGCTCACGGGAAATTAAATCAATTTATTAGATTTTTTTATCCCCGAATGCTTTAAAATGCTCACTGGAAAGATCTATTAAAACTGTGGGTGTTAGTACAACGTACTTCCACTTCCTGTACTACTGTAAGAACACATTGCAACTATATAAACGAAACTCAAGTAAGCAGCCAATTAAGAGTTGCAAAGTGATGCACATCTAAGCTTCTGATGATTAGCCTTATAGCTTGCTTAATTTTCGTCTCATGGGTTCTTTCTGTACGCCATCTTGCTTAATTAAGTTGGCTTCATTGTCATTCCTCATCACCATCGTGGAGTGAGAATTGCGTGGATATATATTACATTGCTGGAAGAGGCTTAATTTTTTTTTTTTTGGGTAAGTCGCAACTTATTGTACCTTGTTTTTCTCTTTGAATTTTGTTTATTTTAAAATTTTCCATCAAAATAATCCACATCCCCAAAAAAAAATTACGGACATATCATATATCGCAGCTCATAGCTTTGCCCTTCTTAAAAAAAAAAACAAGAAGAAGAAGAAGCAAGGCTTTCGTTTGGGATCAAGTTAATGAGTGCATTTTTATGACAGCTTTGTTATCAATCGTTGTAAAAAGTCTTTTATTTTTACTATATTTGGTTTTGTAAAAAGTCTTCACGGTCAAGTTCTTTGAGAAATTCAAAGAAGGTGCTTCTCTCAATGGGAGTATTTGGAGATCCTACCCATCTTTTTTTAATGGTTTGTTTGAACCATGATCATCATCATCATCCTTACGAGGATGCTTATGGTTGCAAGGAGATCTAGGTCTCTTAGGCTCCTAGTTTTTCTTTTAAAACCATATTCTCTATCATCACTAAAATCATTTCAAAAATAGCAATCACAACTACGATCACACACTGATAGGGCACAATCCCAAATAAAGTAATCATTGATGTGGGAGTCATAAATTGGCTTGGCTTCTGATGTAAACTACTCAATTAGAGGGTGTTCTTTATTTGTAGTAAAAGCAAGTGTAATCAACAATATCCTTCCAGGGATTTGGTATGGATCTTGGGTTTCAAGCCTCTTGAAAACAAACTCAATAGTACTGTCTTGAAGTTTGTAAAGATCAAGAGATTTTGTAGTGTGAATATCCTTCTGAATACTATGGAACTGTTTTTTATAATTGTTGATCCATTCTAACAGCATCATCTAGGCAAGTTCTTCTATCAAAAGATGTCTCAAGATCTAGATGATAGATGAGTCATCTGGATAGTCTGGAACCATATATAAAGCATCTTTGGTTGCATTCGCAAAGTTGAGATTGGAAGAATGATCTTGAAGCTTGAAGAACATCTGATGATAAAGGGTAGCAATGACAGCTTCTAGCTACTGCACAGCTCCATGAATATGAATCTAGACTTTTAATCTTGTGGAGAGAGTCAAATCTATGAGCTTTATGTTAAAGTCAGGTGCTATAGTAAGAACCATGCTATCACTACTGGGAGTAGTCAATATGGCACAAATCAAGGCGTTGCCTTATACCATACCCTTTCTCCTACAAAGGGTTAGGACAAGGTGGATAGCTCTAACATAGAGATACATATATCTGTGGTTGATCTATGTATCAATCAAGGGCTGAGCAATCTCAAGGGTAATGTAT